ATGTTGTATTTTTCTGCATAAAAAGGAAAGAATTCCTCAATGTCGAAAATGGGACGTCTTTATCGTAGTTTTATATCGATTGGGTGTGGCGTTACATTTACTTCATTGACACAATATCTGTCATCTACCAAAGTTCAACAAACTTTCTTTGTAGGCGTGTTCTGCTTGCTTAAAAACTTGTCAGCGAATGCCTCGTATTTTTTTATGCTAATTTTTACTAATGTATTGTAGTACCACAAAACAAAATTGAGAGAAATTGCAATATAAAATATTCCATCAAAGACACTTCTCGATGGGCGTATTTTGCGGTCTGATTTATTCACTCTGGTGTTGAAAATAGCAAGGATAATAACAAATGACGACAAAGGTGAAAAACATGTTTATGCTAATTACTATTTTACCGCGAGCGACCAGATTGATATTGGTAAGATTCCAGGGACGGCAGTGATGAACCCCAAAACGCTATTTAAGGCAAATGAACACGTGAAGCACACGAAACTGTTTCAAATCATCGTACAAAATACGAATTAAACGTTGTTTACCCTTGATGTAAACTAGAATCACACGCTTTAGATGGTGTCATAATAAGCGAATGGTGAAAACAGTGTTTATGTTATCAGAAATTGAAGACTTCAAACATACTATTTGCACTAAGTAATTTTTTGATTGCTCAGCGAATTTAGGTCTAAATATCCAAACATATTTTAGTATAAAGCAGTAATAATAATAAAAATCACCAAAAAAACAAACAAGAGAATGTATGTCTAAATATCGGTTTACTCCACTAATCTAATTGACCGATCTTGGAGAGCATATTACTAACATCTGGTTCTCATCATCGGCAATAAAATGTCTTTATTCTGTCTATTTCTACGTTTAACAAATTTTATTTCAAACGAATCTTAGCCTATATCTTGAGAATTTTACTTGCTATTCATATCGAAATAGAACTTGGATGACATTACATACTCATTTGCATGAATTCCTAATTTGAAGATGATCTGATAAAGAATGCTGAGTTACTGTAACCACAAGAAGATTTTTAAGCGAAATTTCATAAAATATCATCGAAATATTTTTGGAAGGGATCGGATAATACAACAAGAACATTTCCTCCTCGGACAGCCTGAGGGTAAAAATGACGTGTTCTCATCAGTGTGTCGTCCATGTCCCATCTCGCCCATAATGCATTGCACTGTGACGTAATCCAAGAGCTCAAGTTACCCAGGGTTGTGGTTTACGACAAAGTTGGGTAAATATTTACAAATGTAGATATCAATTTAACCGATAGGTTGTGAACCTTAGGCTAAAATTTATTCAACACTTTTATCTTTCTCCAGC